ACTTACGAATGAGAATCTCATGTTCGACAGGTCACGAAAGACACCCCACTTGGGCTAAGTGATTATGTCACTATACTTTATAACCATATGTATTACGCTGAGGATCCGAGGAAACACACTGAAATAACATGTACCATCACACGCTACAACATCCTGTATGATCTAGTTGGTTACTTGGAAATTCTTGATAGGTGTCTCCCCTGGCTACACATGGATTCAGCTTGTTATACGCTTCAGCAATCTGATCCCAACTGCTTCAAAAACTAAAGGGTTCGTTTCACCAACCCATCTTCGTTCAACAGAATTAGAACAGAGTAATGCATGTCCCTAAGTAATGCAGCTTGGCAAACCTACGGAACCCTTCCTGTTCCCGAAATCTGGCTGGATCACGTGGCTTAGCGCTATCATTGTATTGTGCTTGTCAGTGAGGAAAAACTGGCTCACCAAAAATATTTCACCTGTAAATTTACCAAAAACCAAAAGCTCCCTCATAAGAATGTTAACACCATTCGGAAAGTGAAAAACGGTATCCGCCACTAAACGCGACACTCGGCGTGGCTCGGAGTGCTGAAGAAGCAGCCAACGCTCCACAGTTGCAGTATGCTCCAACCTTCCAACGAGACGTCCGTGACTGCTACATAACTGTGTCAATAGCCCTGAATTCAAAAGTTGCTAACATCGTATTTATTGCCTTATCTGTTTTGAAAAAACTGCTCTCATTGTGCATCCATAGTTTTCCCGGAATGGATGACATCCACCCAATGGCACTGAACATATAGCAGCAGCAACACATACCCAGCCACTATCGCATCTCTTCCAAACGTGCTTAGTTGAGCAAACTGTGTCTACGACATGGAAGCATAGCGTAATCACGTCAATATTCAAAAGCGGAAATCGCTCGGAACCCGCAGCTCTCGCACATTCGCCCTTTGCCCTGTACTCCAAAAGGTGAGGGAGGCAATCATCGCTTAGGATTTAGTCGACTAACTAGAACGTTACATCACAGAACCTGAGCAGCACGGTTTCCGCCAAAACCATTCATGTGCAATAAACCTACATATCGCACGCAGTAGTAAGACGGAAGCGGTTGATAAAGGTAGGGGGACAGACATCATTTACCTCGACTTCTCGAAACCCTTCGACCGACTGGACCACCACATTTTGCTTCATAGGCTCGAAAGCTATGACGCTCGGGATCGTGTCCTTGAATGGATCTGGAATCTTTTGCAGGATCGGTAACTACAGGTTAGAGTACAAAGTACACTATTTGATCTGATTCATGTCGAATGTGGAGTTCCACAAGTATCCGTTCTAGGTCGGTGCCTGTTTCTCGTGTTCATTAGCAAGCTTATGCATTTGATTGCCTCGGATTTCTTGTTGTTCGCTGATGATGTTATATGTGACAGGCGATCGCCGGCCAAGTATAATATGATGCATTTCAGTGAGACCTGGTCATCCCACAGTCTGCTCCAGTTAAATTCGTCTAAGTGTAAAGTGGTCCACATTCGTCACCATCCGAACATCAAACACAAGATTGAAGAACATGTCCTGCATATAATCACCCAGAAGTGCAACCTTCGGGTATTAACTTAGGCTGATTTGGGATGCTCAGAACAATCTGAGAAGGTCTACAAGTTGGTATGTTGCGGAGGGCATTCGGACTGAATACGCAATCCATGCCTGACAGTCCTGGCACAGGCAAGATCCCGCAGCACTCGAGAAACCACAGCGAAAAGCCACGAAGCACGTCAGTGGGTTTTTCCATCTTCCTTAGCAAATAGGCCAAGAACACTAGGATTATACAGCGGTCATTATCAGCACTACGTGGCGGCCTAATAACGGCGTATCAGATTTTAAGAAACTCCAACCACGTCTGCCGCCACCTAGTGCAGCTCGGTCACAACAGGAAATTGAAGGGTCCTCAACTCAATTTGGCCAAACAGTACAGTCGGCTAGAATGGAGCGAAACTTTTACCCTCCTTTTGTCTGTTAATTATGGAACACACTCTTAAATCACATTGTTTTCGCTTCAGTTTACCAAAGTTTACAATACGCTTTGACATTTCCCTAACCCACATACATTTCGGGATATATCCTGTGTAGCTCGAAGTATGGTATAATGTGATGAATGTTGCACTAACCTGCACAATTTAGGTGGGCTCACTTCTGCATGCCTCTGTGTGTACACTGGCAAGTCCACCAAAACGAATTCCGTTTTGTCATTGTTTTATTATCCCCATATTGTGATTCGCATTCTGGCCATTCTACGGGACTTGTTAAGAATTCTCTTTTTTACCCGTAATATACTTTTGTTTCATCGTTACATCTCTTGACATGGAGATTGAAAACGCAATGGTCGTGATGCCTTCATTGCTGTATTCTCCTCCTCCCTTGAGAGGCTTTATAAGCGGCTTCGGATTTTCGAGTCTACGAAAGCTCGATACTCGGAACGCCGTCCCACAGTACGGTTAGATTCTAGCTTGCAGAGTATATTATGGATCTGACATCGCGTGGTGAAGTCATGGGATTTCTTGCTGAGCTTCCGTTTAGCAAGATTGTGGCCAGGAACGTCCGCAGTAGTGTTAAAGTGTTACATCAGCAAAACTATAGCGTTAATGTTTAAGATATTAAGATAAAAGATGTCAGCCGTAACTTCCGAGTCGTACGTGAGGAAGAATCAATCCCACAAGATATACATTAATAGCGTTGCGAACGGGTCACAGTTGATCGAATGACGTCCGGTATAATATATCATTGTGTTCGACTTTCGATGCTTGTGACAGCAGAGTGAAATTGAATACCACCACTCGACGAACATTACACGAAAGCTTCTTCAGAATGCTGATATTCACATTGTGAATGCCCAAAGCAAAGACACTATCTAGAATATTGTCGTTCCTTGATGGCAACGAAACTTGCTGTGATCAGCCTTGTGGATGTGCCCTGTATCTGATTGTGAAGTGAATAAAGCGCAGATTCCAAATCGTAACTCAACCTAATTTAACCGTTACCAAAGTTAAGTCTTGGGTAATTTGTTTTGACGCTTTGCATCACGTACAACTTTTTATTATTATTTCTGGCTTGAAAGCATAAGGATTGGCCAACACTCGACTGAATTGGCCGGGGTAGATTGCGGAAGTTTGTATCCAGCCATAAACCATCGTGTCTCTGTTTGAGTCTACCACCCACAAACCACGAATTATGGATCCAAATGTTGGTCGGGAAATTTAGAGAGCGTCAGTGAAACAACCTGACCACAGGGAACTATGGAAGGCACCAGAACATCTTAAATTGCGCCGATTAAGGTTGATAACGCTACCCGATTAAAAACCCATCTCGTTGTGCGGTCTGCACCAAGCTCGTAGCAACCGAGATCTAGGAGATAAGCGCCTCAACTTGTCTCACACATGTTGCACGAGTTGATTTCCAAAGAGGCACTTGTGTATATAGTAAAATTAGGTAGAATGCTGTGGGCAAAGCGGCGGCATCGTGTAGCCATTGCACTATACTTTATGCGTTGCTTGGAACGCTGGTGAACGACTCACAGAAAACGGTACACCCAATTGACCTTTCCCACACCTCCATGTTTAGATAGAGAGAGGATTGGTAACTTTTCTTGAATTTTTGAGTTCAAACCTAGAGAGAGAATGCAAGGATGCCACTGATTTTGAGAATGCGGCGTAGCTGGTGTAACGAAGTCCGAGGTTCCTTCCAGGAAGATGGCGCCTACCAACATGTCTAGGCCCCGGTTACGTTTATCATGCATCTTTGTGGTACTAGTAGGCTAGGCAGCGGCTTCACTCAACCTAAGTGGAAGTCGAATACCCAGGCTTGGCCTGCTCCGAGTTAGTCTGCCGAGAGGTACTGGATTGGCAGCTGCGTTGCATGTATTCTGTATATTCTAAGTTTAACCGTTTTCTGTCAAGTAAAAGCGGAGATAGCAAAGTCGTTCATAGTCGTTTCCGCTACGAACTCGAAAAAGAAGGGGCTAAAAGGTAAATAAGACATGCGCCACTATGGGGAAAATATCCGCACACTTTTATTGGACGTAGGAAACAACGGCAAATGATGTACAAATAGTAAGAAGTTTCCTTAATAAGACCCTAGAAGGATGAGTTGGTAGCGGAAACGGATGATCCACAGAATAAAGGTAGATTACAATTAAACAATGTAGTTAATAATCTAGATCACAAAGACAGCTGGCCCGAGTATTATGTGTCGTTTGGAGTCGATATGGTGGAAAGCTTAGGCGAATGCAGTTCCAAAAACCATCTCCTCGCCAAGTTTTGAAAGGCAACTAGGAATTACGGTTGTCAACCACAAGTCAGAGATCCACTCAGAGGACCAGATAACGTCAACACTATCAATAATTAGTTATGGGGGTGCTTATAACCAGGTCTTTTGTTCTGCATCAGGGGCATCAGTAGGTGGGGTATCGTGCATGTAGCTGAGACTGTGCTCTTAAAATTCTGACAGTGGATACACTGAAAAGGCTTGCAAAGTGCTCGGTTTAAGCCAATGAGAGTAAACTTAAGTCGACTGCCAACGTACCTATCGGACACGGGAGTCAGATGGGATGCAAAAGCACTAGACTGTTCCAAATGATGCTCGCTTTTCACTTTTACAATATTCCACCATCCAATCCACTCAGATACAGTCTCGTGGACTGTTATGAACATTCTGAAATTGACTTTTTAGAGGATTGTCTACTGCGTGTCAGTCAAGACGATGTGACCCGCATCATCCCATCCACCATTCGGGTACCTAAATCTGGGTGGACAGTTGAAGTCGATGGTCTCCCATTCAGCAATTTTCGCACTACTTCAATCGATCTCCCTTAAATTCATTTTATAAGGTCTGCTGTGAAAGAAGTTATCCGGTGTTAGTCTAATAAACAGACCCAATAGGAGGTTACTGATTTGTGTCTCTGTACCCAAATGGTTAAGGATTTTCCTTTTCCAAAGCATCACTTCTATTTTCTATTTTACCTTTAACTGTAGGTGGTGCAACAACCGAGGTCAAAGGTATTCCACTCGAGTACCAGCAAAACTTCACGGGCTGTATCGGTGATTTCGTTATTAATGATAGACAAATGCAAGTGCTCACAGATGCCTACGAAATATGGGGGCCAGTGATGGCATGCTGACAGGTATACGAAAAATCCAACTGAGACACTGGTGCGCTGCAGACGCGGTTTCCAACGAATACAGAAGTCTGACAAGTTTTTAGATCGCCTGATCATTAATCCGAGTGATCCCATTCTCCCTACTGTCAGAGAGGACAGTCCATTATGATGGCAAGCTCGTCGAGCCATTTGTGCAGTCTGTTTGTGATCAGTGCTTACATGTCATCTAATTTAATGTGCTCAGCGGTCACTGCAGCCAAACGAAAAAACCATTCCTGGTATAACTTGCCCTCCCAAAGACTGATGCCAAGCTCATAATATGACATCCACATACCCGAAAATTTTCCGCAACGCATGTAGGTAACGCAACACTGTTCTTTGAAGATTTCAGCTTATGGAAAACATGAACCCTACTTTGTTTTAGTAGTCTATGTGGAACAATTGCCAATGTAAAAAAGACGCTCACATATAAATTATTACGAGCAAGAAAAAAGATTGTCGGAGACTTTGGATAAATGCGGAGAGCTTCGTTTTATAAGCTGCTAATCAAGCGCCACGAGAGTCGGAAAATATCAGCAGTACTAATTCATATGATTTTAGAAAATGGGAAATCATAGCAGCAACTCACATAATATATGAGAATCCACATGTACGGAAAAACAGTAAATGGTCGGTTCGTCTAGTTGGGACTCGTTAAAAGTGTGCAGGCATCGGCTTCATCGGGTTCCAAGCCTATGACCACTAGTGGATTGCGCTGCTAGTCAGCGTCGGGTAATGTTAATAAGCCATGGGAGACAGCGACAGACCGCCGGGATTTAAAAGAAAGCTGTGTCTCTCGAGGCCAACCTTGTCAACTGCAAAGTTCCTAAGTTAGCAAGTACTGTAGGGTAAGACATGTTGAATCAGCGGGGCCAGCAAAGACGGTTGCATCATTATTGCGCCCCTCTCTATCATATATTTTAGTCTCTGCGTCTTCACTCAACGCGGTCAACATACACTCAGTAGGAACCGATTAGCTTCCTGTAATCAGTGGGCAAAGAAGTACAGATTTGTGACATACAGGTGACGATTTCTGCAACCAAAGTTGTTTAAGCACTTCGCTTGCTTACGCTCACGCGCGCAACGTTTTTCTAACAACTCTCATCGCTGCAAAATTGAGTTTGATAAGGGACCCTTACCCCTTCACAGTGATCTCAGAATTACTCCAACAGGAACGTTTCTAAGGAAGGTCCGATTAATTATGTTGCCTTCGATTTGACTCACCCGTTATTGAAACGCAGTCCTGACGTCCACCCATATAGTGTACGATAAAAGGCCTAACAGTATATGAAACGATGTAGATAGATAAAGCGCCAGAACCCATGTGATATTTATTGTTTCCGTGACAAGTCAAGCTAAGAGAACCGAGGAAAATGTATCACTCTCAATAAACCTCACTTGACTGGACAGGTGCAGCATTCCGTCGCAACAACAGCCGTTCAACTTAGTGGCAAACGTGATGAATAGAAATGCGTCCTTATGGTCAGGACAAGACTGGCCTCCATTAACTCTGCAACCGCATTCCACACCAGCTACGCTGGAGTAAGTCAACGAAGAGCAGATCGACACAATGCTGTGACTGATACGCTCTGGTTGTGCCAAGTTTCAGGGTTTCTCCATTAAAATCGAACAAACTTGGTCCAGTTCCCCATCATTCCACTCTGAGCTCCATCAGTAGGTCAAACAGTAAAGTCAGCATTGTGAACCGCTCTACGATATCTACACCAGTTGCCCTGCCACCATCTAACACTTTGAACATATAAGTGTCATCGGATGTGAGAGCTTAGTACCAATCCCTAGAAGTTACACCATTACCCCAAGCCCAAATAACAAATCCAGAAGGCAGAGTGGATTGCAGAGAAAATGCTGTTTTTACCTCAAAAGATTTCCTGTTAGCCTACCTATAAAAATATGACACTAATGAACGCTCCTAGCAAGAGGGAACGAAGAGAGCACAAAAAACAGGAGCGATCGTGCTTTGCAATCGAAACGCGCGCCAAGTAATGGCGGCGCTCGACTCAGACAATCGAAGTCAACAACTAGTTAAACAATCCACACCTGTCGCCTAAGTGTACGGTGAAATAGTAATTTTAGTACGAAGTTTACACAGGCTATCCGACTATCTTCAGACTGTTACCCAGCTCACCCCTAGAAGGGACTGTGTAAGCAGTTCTTCGATCTATATGAAGAGTGCTGTCGACGGCCACTTATCTGAGAGACTAGGTGGTGAATACTGATGCAGCTTATGGGGGAGAACCATGTAATCGGACCCTAGTGGGCTCCTACCAGTGTCCTCCTTACGGTGTCCAAACGTAAAAAAGGTTTGTGAGGGACAGTTCAGGAGGATTCTAGTAGCTGGTTCATTGAGTTCATTGAGTTGTAGAGAGCAGGAGGGAAATCCCTTGTTAGCCCCATCGATTCCGTATCATACTGGGTTTGATGCGTGTCGTTGCATTGCGGTTTTCCTCGAGGCTCCGTCGCAATTTCAGTGACAGCCGCAAAATTCCAGCATTCTTAGCGAGTGTTTGTCTAACAGCCGCTTGAAACTTTCCTCGGATGTAGCGTCTGCAATTACTTCCGGTAGGCTGTTCCACTCTTGTGAATAGGGTGACGTCCATGTGAATTCTGTGTCTTCGTTGCTTAAATAGTTTCCATGTGTGACCTCGTGTGGAACAGTCAGTGTTGGGCCGGAAGAATGGTTGTAACTCACTTCCAATTTCCCCTCGGAGGATGCGCCTAGTGTAGATGAGATCACCCCGGCGACGGCGGAGCTCGAGGAAGACCAGATTTAGCTGCTGGAGTCGAATGGGAAACGGGAGATCATGAAGCCCCAGAACAGCCTGCGATGCACGTCTCTGAACCTTTTCCAGCAGAGCGCATTCAAATTTTGAAAGCAGATGGATAGCTGGTAGGCCATATTGGAAGACTAGACGGACGTACGAAGTGAACAGATGTCGAAAAATCTCAGGAATCATTCGAGAGAATGATCTTCTTAAAGCACTCCCCAGTCTCCTTCCAGTGGCCACCTTCTTCAAGGTGTTCTGCTTCGTTCTAAGGTCCGAATTCACGATAACCTCGAGATCTCTCTCGTGGGTGGTATTCCTGAGGAGAAACCCACCAACGTGGTATACACCGTACGGTCCAGTGCTACCCATTGGGAGAACAACGCATTTATCTCGGTTTACCGGCAGTTCCCATTTGATGGACCATTCGTGTGGCTGGTCTAGAGTCCCTTGTAATCTGTCCGCATCCTCAAGCCTGGATACTGTTGATCATAGCTTAAGGTCATCGGCGTAGATCAAGCAGTCGGTTTGAAGTGCAGCCGGCAGATCGTTAATGTACAGTTTGAGGAGCTTTGTTCCAACCACTAATCCTTGGGGAATGCCACTAGTCATAGGCACTGGAGCAGAGAGCCTTTGGTTCACTTGTACACGCATTGTCCTACCTCTTAAGAAATCGGCAATCCAGGTGAGAAGATTGCCTGTAATGTCAATTCCATGGAGTTTATGTAGCAGTCGTATGTGTGGAACCTTATCAAAGGCTTTGCCGAAATCAATGAATCTTACGCCAACCCGTTTTCGGGCATCTATGACTTCTGCCCATGTTTCTCTGGCGATGAGTAAGTGATGCATGAACGTGCTCTCCGGAAGCCATGTTGAGCAGGTGAGATAAGGTTTAGATTCGCACAGTGTAGCTGGAGGGCGCACTTGAATATTCTTTCCATGGTTTTGTATACGACTGATGTCAGGCATATTGGTCGGTAGTTGGCTGGGTCTTGTTGGTTTCCCGCCTTGTATTTGGGCAGGACGGTACCTGCTTTCCAGCCTGTGGGTAGGCAGCCGACTTCGAGGGATTGCAGAAACACTTGGCAGAGAGGGGCGGCGAGGTAATCAGTATTCGTTTTGAGGAAGCTGGGATGCAATCCCTCCGTGCCTGGGGAGGAGTTCGGGTCCAGTTCGAGGAGTAGCTTAGTGACTACTTCGGGGTTAACTTAAACCTGGTCCATAGAGTAATAGTATGCAGGAAAACAGTTGTTGAGCAGCGGAGACACCACTGAGTAGACCGAGGAATATTGCGCAGCCAGTAGGTTTGCTTTTCATCATCACCCTAGAGAACGGTACCTTCCTTATAAAAGGATAGAGCTGGGATTTCACTACCCGTTTTGGCATCTCGCTTCAAGTAGGCAGAAAAGTTTCTTGGGACAGTTTTGGTACTCCGTGGCCAGTCCATGTTCAGATCGTAGTCTTTTGGCACGTTTTATCAGGGTGCATAGGTTTCTGACAGTTTTGTACTCTAAGTAGCTCGATGTTAGTCCTTTGCTTTTGAAATGATCCCATAGTTTTCGTCGCTTTTTGCATTAGGGATCTTGCTACTTTATCAATGCATAGGGGTCCTTTGGATGGTGGTCTGCTCTTGCAGTTTGGAACAAATTGTTCAATGAGCCGCAGCGTCATAGATCGTAGGCATTCCCATGTGTCATCCACCTATAAGGATTGCGGAATACTCTAGTCCATGTTACTCGCAGTCGTTCTTACTCTGGGCTGGTCAGTGCGCCAGAAATTTCGGCGCAGTGTAATCTGATCGTGGATTGTGAGGCGTCGTGTCTACGAAAAGGAGACTGTACAGTGATCATTCTTCCCAAGTGGTTAGAGGACCGTTAGATTTGAGACGTCAGATAGTGCCGAGGTGAGAACCAGGTCGAGAATCTTTGGTGTCTGTTAAGGGACCATCCGTGTTGGTGTCAAGACATGCTGTATCAGGTTGCACTGGTGAACGGTATCAAAGAGATCAACTTCAAAGGAGTCAGGTGAGAGACCACTGTGAAGAAGGCCCCAGATTATGTCGGGGGCGTCGCAGTCACCCATAAGGAGACAGTTTGTTCCTCTGCTGTGGGTTCGCACGGAGCGTAATAGGTGTGAACCAGGTCTTGCAGTGGCTCTGTAGACCACTCCGACCATTAGCCATTGGTATCCGTCATGAAT